GGTTTACGTTTCAAGCATCTGAGAGAAGCCTTTTGACTTTTTTTGTTTTATATTCCAGGGTATCTTGGAGGAATATATGAATTGTTATTGCTATCTTAAATGTTGCTTTGAGCTGAAATTGAGAAAGTAATTTTTCACTCTGTGTGTTGTATAGTAGCAGGTCTGTGCTAATAAGTAACTTGTAATCATATAGGTCATATTTCAAGCTTCTTGCATCACATCCTTTTGTGATTTTTTTTCTTGATTATAATTTTTGGAGAATGTACCAAGTAAGCATTCCCAGAGGCTATAAAACATTAAAAATGTATTTTCTAACAGCAAAATGTACACACACACACACACACACACACACACACACACACACTTATGACCCGTTAACTATATACTAAAGAAAAGAAGAATGTGTCCAGGGGAAGTGCTATAGAAATAAAATCTTTAATATTGTAGCTTACACAACTCTACCGCCATGTCTGTATTTGGCTTTGATTATCTTATTTTGGGATTGCTCAAGATTTTCCATCAGAAAAGAAGAAAAGAAGATGAATTTAAAGAAATACTTAAAGAGCAACCTTCTGTAGTGGTGATCAGGACACCTGGGAACTTATCCTGATTTGGGCTGTATTTTCCACATCACCACCTCTCTGAGCTTTATAACTGGCTTCCAAGGAGTAACAGAGTGGTATTGTCAGATCAGGTGCACTGAGGAAACTGTAGAATGGAGATCTGTGACCTTACTGGGTACAGATGGCTCTGAACCCTTGGCAATTACCAAGTCCTTCTTCGTCCAGCAGATTTTTCACGATTCACTGTACATTAACCTCCGGGAACCAGGCTGACGCCTTCATCTGCTGGATGGCCCTAGACATGAGCAGATCTGAAATGCTGCCAGGAGACCTGGACAGTACGCTTCATACCCAGTCAGTACTTCCTCTCTGATGGGTGAGGGGGAAAGAAACTACTTCTTAATAAGCCAAAGAATATTTGGCTTTTTTTTTATGCCATACGGAGAGACAAGGGCACTATCCATCTGCAGTGGTATTTTTCACCGAAGATTCTGGCAAAAGGATTGAGTTAACAATCCTGAGATCTGTTTCTTTTTTAATATAGTTAGATGATAATAATTGAAACAATAATTCCAATAATTGAATAACCCGATAGCAAGCAATAGTTGAAACAATAATTCCACCACTGATTTAAAAGTCCTAGGCAGCACCAGCGGCAAATGTGTGCAAAGTATGGGGTGCAGCCATTTCTGCGCAGTTTCGTTTCTTGTCAAATATAGTCTGCTTATGGAGTCTTAAGCCTATCTGAATAAACATCACTTAAATGTTTTTTATTTCCTTTCAAGGGAAAATTTTGTTTGTCCATCTAAAGCAGCAGGCTTCAAAAGAACTCCCTGCACCGATGGAAATGTTCTATCCCTCTGCTATCCGGAGGGTAGTGACTAGCTGGATGTGGCTGGCAAGCTTTTGAAATGTGCCTAGTGCAACTGAGGAACTGGATTTCTAGTTTTAATTAATTTTACATTAAATAACCCCATGCGACTACTTGCTGTTGTATTGGATAGCACAGATACGGGTTTTGATTGAATACGTTTTGTTTGGAAAACCAAAGTGAATCTTCAGACAGAACAATTCTTGGCAGTTCTGGTCAACGTTTTTTAGATCACACACTCAAAAGTGAATAGATTTCTAACCATTAAATCTAAGTAGAGGGTTTTTTTTTTCTTGTGTTAATGCAAAGATTTTAGGGCCATGTTCCAGATACGTGAACTCTTCTGGAAATTACAATGAAAGGGAAGGGTATACACCTGAATAAAACTTAGTGCCCCGAGGGATGAGTGGTTGAAAGGTCACATACCATTTAAATATGAAAGAATTTTAACTCTCACTGGTTACTATTGTTTTATATAGACGTTACAAATCTTTCCTACTAAGTTAGTTTTGACGGATCTTTCTCTTCTTACTTAGGTTAAAGTGAAAAATGAGAATGTGGCTTTTGCTATGAAGTGTATAAGGAAGAAGCACATTGTTGACACTAAGCAACAGGAGCACGTTTACTCAGAAAAGAGGATTCTAGAAGAGTTGTGTTCTCCCTTCATCGTGAAGTAAGTGAGCATTTGGCCCCCGGAATTTGGACTGTAGGCTCTTTTGAATGTTTTCACGCAAGAGAACAGAAGAGGGAGAGAAGACCCCACTCTGAATTCTCCATCCCTGTCACAGCAACAACACACAAAATGTTAGAACTTTGAGGTTTGGAGTCAGGAGTTTGGATTTTTTTATTCTTAAGTAAATCTCAGGAAAATTGTGCGTGTGTGTGTGTGTGTGTGTGTGTGAATATAAAATTATTGTGGAATAATTTCAACTGATTATTTAATCCATACCTATGGCAGAACTTAGGAAGCAAAGAATTCACATGAAGCCCTCAGAGGACATGCTGTTGCTGAGTTTCTGCAAGAGGTGGCATTTGGGCAAATGGAGGCTGCCAGTGAGCAACAGAGCGCAGTCCTAGCAATGCCTGGATGCTGAAAGATCCATCTCCTAATAGTCACTGTTCTTTCTGTGGTTATGCCCAGAGTTTAGAAGAGATATTTTACTCTAGACCCCAGCTCTCTTTACTTGTGATTCATCAGTTGGTGGTGTAGGCCAGTCAAGACATTTATTTTCATACATGTCCTGACCTCAGAGTGTAGCTTTAGTGATTCCTGGGTGATATAAAGTGCCCCTATAACGAATAGAATTTGTTTTTTGATCAAATGTCTTGAGAGAATCTTCCTGCCTACCCGTATTCCCACACCCATTTTCTTTCAAGACAAAAAGGTTTGAACCCAGGCAATGCTGGCAATAGAGTCATCCAATTATTTTTTATGTTAACTATGTTTCCAGAATGCCCCCCCCTTTGATCAATAATTCATTAACAAACTATCGTGAACAGCTTTGGGGCATGGATTGGATTTTATTCCTGTTCTCATTTCTAGCTCTTTGCAGAATGCCTGGCACATAGTAGGGCAATAATAACATAATAATCAATGTTAATAGCACTTATTCAGAAATTAACATGTGCTAGACACTCTTCTTAGCAAACTATGTGGTTATATATATATATATCTCACATATATAATATGTGGGATATATATATTTAAAATATTTTTATTTATTTTATATATTATGTATGCAGATATATAACCTACATTAAATTAATATATAATTAATTTATAATCAAATGAATATACATATATTCATCTGACCTTTATGATATGAGGTAAACGTAATGGTTGTCCTCAAGAGCAATAAGAAAGCTGGGTTGCACAACTAATAAATGGTGGGTCAGGGATTCAGACCTAGGCATCTTGGATCCAGAGCCAACACTGAACCACTTTATTAGATTGCTTCTGCTGTCTGCACATGATCTGGCCACTAAGCCTTCACCCACTATTGAAATATGGCACCCTACCCAGGTCCCACATCAGGATTGAGGCTGTCGTTCCTACACCGTCTGGGAGTGTTGCCAACTGAGGACTCTAGCTCTAGCTCAGTCCTTTCCTGGCCATTGCTTTAAGGTAGAGAGAGCCACCTTGCCCAAGATTCTACTCTGTCTCCAGATACATCCTGCATCCAATAATGGCAGAGCTCCTTGAGGCTGAGGCTTTTGTTGAAATAAGAAATAGCCCAAGTCTCCTGCTGCCCAAGTGTGTCTTATTCCTCCCCCGTGGATGTCGTTCCCAAGTACACTTCCCACTAAACTTACTGCTTACAGGTCTCTGTCTCACAGTCTAGTTTTTGAGACCAACCAGAGGACATAAGAGACATAAGACACGGGCTTGAAGGCAGCTCATAAGGAGACATATGCAGAGGTCTCTGGGCTTCTGGAGAAAAGACGGACTGTATTTTGTAGGTGGGATGATGAGCTTGGTCTGAGGAAGGGATAACACTATTGCAGTGAAACGGAGATGAAGAAGGTTACCCTGTGTGGAGAGGGAGGGAAGTCTGAAGAAAGGGGATAACGTGTGCAAAACAACACAAGAAGAAAGATCAAGGAGGATTTGGAGGGAAGTCCCATGTAGCTGTAGGATGTTTGGAATGAGATGAGCACCAGTGTTCTAAATGTTATTGGTGATGTTCTTAAGCAACTGTAAAAAGCTTTCAAAAACAGATTTTTAACGATAACCATGTTTTTATGTGTCTTCACAGATTGTATCGTACTTTCAAGGACAATAAGTATGTGTACATGCTTCTGGAGGCCTGCTTAGGTGGGGAGCTATGGAGTATATTAAGGGACAGGTAATGGAAAAGGATTATAAACAATAACCTGTGTTCTCACATCTGATCTAAGGGATGATCTACTTTATTCATGATCTACATCTGATATACTTTATTCATGATCATTTAAGGAGATAGAAAGTCATTACGAAATGGTTTTAAGAAAACATTATGACTTGATAAAATAGTAGTGGGGGTATTTTCTTAGCTAACATTATAATTATGCAATAGACACCCTGTAAGGCAGTCACTGTCATTTCCATATTCGGGATCGAAGAATCCCAGGCTTCAACAGGGTGTGAACTCTCCACAATCACATGGTTAGTGTGAGGCAGGGTGGCTATAAGCCGAAATGTTACTGATTCTGAATCTCTCCCAGGGAAATGAAGAAAGGGGGTGGGGAACATGAAGCCCCCACTAAAAGCAGAGGAAGATTCCTGCGAAGATTCAGTTTTACAGAAGGGGTGATTCCTGCATAATTGAAACCACACATATTTATTGAGTACCACCAATGGGGCAAGGCTCCATTGTGGACATTTTCTAGACAACGTAGACTTTTCTAACCAGAAGGATAAAAACTATAAACTTTTTCTCCAATGAAGTTTAGATTTTATTTGGGGGGATAACATAATGCGAAGTTTTAAAACGTTCCATTATTGCTTTTAAAGTTTATGTATTAATTTTGAGAGAGAGAGCACATACACGCATGCACAGGCAGGAGGGGGGCAGAGAGAGAGGGAGAGAGAATATCCCAAGCAGGCTCTGCACTGCCAGCACAGAGCCTGACGCGGGGCTCGATCTCACAAACCGCAAGATCAGGATCCAAGCCGAGATCAGGAGTCTGAGGCTTAACTGACTGTGCCACCCAGGTGCCCCAAAACATTTTATTATTTAGTGTGTACACTACATATGACAGAAGAATTGGCAATTTGTAATTAAATGCCAAATGAGTGTTGACGATTGTAAGCTCAGAGAGGAAAGATATAAAAATGTGATGACAAAGGAAAGACTGGAACTAAATTCTAAAGGTGAACAAAATTTGGGAAGGCAGAGGGGAAGGAAAACCTATGTAAAATACGACAGGAAGGCAGAAATAGAATTATGTCTCTTTGTGGATAATTCGGAGCAGAACTATCCCAGCAAAAGGGGATGAGAAGATAGTTTGCATGAGATTGTGGAGGTTAATTCCAGGCCACACATTTGGACAGGTATTACTTGGGCCTGTGGGTCTTAAATCTGGCTTCTTGTTACAATCAAGTGGAGAGCTTTACAAAGTCACAATGCTGGTCCTTACTGCCAGAGGTTATGATTTGCTTCATCTTGGATGGAGTCCAGTAAATGATTTTTAACTGTCTCTCAGGCAAGTCTAATGTGCATTCATAGTGGAGAATTACAGACCTAGGTAATAGGAGACCTTTGAGTATCTGAGAAGAGATAGATGTGTTTGTGTTAGGAACATATTTTTGGATGGATCCCAATGGGGAAAACCTGGAAGGGTGCAAAGACTTGTGCATGATACCTACAAAAACATTTGCGTCCTCCATCATTGCTTCCACAGGCAAATCTGCTTAGAAAGGGGAGTTGTTACTATCTGTTAGGCACTGTGTCTGATTCTCAAAACAAACCGTGTTAAGTAGTAAACCCATTTGACAGAAAGGGACCTGAAGCTAGGACAGTCACACAACTTGCCTGAGGACATGGTGATGGAACACACAGGAGTCAAAACCAGTTTCTCTTATTCCAAAGCCACACCCTTCTCTTACTGTGTGCAGCAAATCACTGACACATTTTAATAACTAAGTGTGTAAACCCACGTATAGTGCTGCCACAGGGCAACTCTAATATCACTGAGCTACACTAAACAGGAAAGAGTTACGACCCTGTTTCTACATGGGTTATTGTTACGTGCTATACCAACAGGAAATGAAAATGATCACTTGAGTCATTTTTAAGTCAAGCAATAAATTACAGAAATCTGCTTTAAGCTGCCCGTTAAAGTAGTTGCATTTTCTCCAGAGTTTGCCAGAAATGTCTAAAAAAGGCTAATTTTTCTCACGTTTCTATTTTGTATGTTCATATATGATTACCAGAAGTGGTTGTTTGGTTGTAGACACTTTAATTTTAACTAAGTATTTCTCGCTTGCACCAAGTATCCCCCTAAATTTCTTTAGTGTAATTCATTGGTGGTACAAAATGCTATTCAGTGTTGATACCCTACAAAGCATTCATGTTGTATACATTTACCAAAGCAATAATTGACACGTAGAATAGATAATAAATATGTGTGTCTAGAACATTAAGAGGGAAAATGATTTCATTGCAGAGGCAGCTTTGATGAGCCCACCTCCAAGTTCTGCGTGGCTTGTGTGACAGAAGCCTTTGATTACCTGCACCGACTGGGTATTATCTACAGAGACCTGAAACCAGAAAACTTAATTCTAGATGCTGAGGGTTATCTTAAATTGGTAAGACAAATTCTGTAACTTACAGTATCATAAGAGCTATTTTCTAAACACAGAGTTGTGTCATAATTGCAAATTTGTTTATATTTTGGTACACTGGCTATTTTTACCATGGGGGATATGCCCTGTGGCATTGGCACCATTAACACAGAAGTGTTATGAGTACATTCTTTTTGGCTTAGAAATTTTATATTTCAACCATATTTGTGATTGCTACAAAGGATTCACTTAATAGAATGCCTATAAATTGGATTCTGTTAACATTTTTGTTTAATAAATTGAAGTAGGTTTTAATACATTCCTGCTATATATAGGGACTGGTTCTAAGGAATAAGGAAAGAAAATGATTGTCTTTCTTCTGTCCCAAGATAGCCACTGTCTGTATAGGGAGAAAAGATACACATATGAGAGGCTTTTTTTTTTTTTTAATCTTTCTAGGTGATTCTAAAGTACAACCAGGACTGAGAATCACACTAGACTCTAAGCTTCTTAAGAACAGAGACTTTCCTTGATACCCATCTTTATAATCTCTAATGCCTCACATAAATCCCCTGGCAGGTCACACTACAAAAAAAAAAAAAAAAAAAAAAAATGCTACCAATCACATAAACTGCTTTCAGTGTGAAACTATAAGAGAACTGGGCAGTCATAAGTGAGGAGAAACCAGGGCACTTCGGACCTCAGGAGGGAACCCCATCAGGATGGGGAGCCCAGGCTGAGTTTTCCTGAGTTTATTTTGTCAGTTTGTCGGGAACATTAAACCATCTCTGAATGTAACATTTACAAAGATACTAAAAGTTTCTCATGTCAAAACTTTTATATATGGAAATAATAGCTACCATTTTATAAGCAGTTTAGTGTGTTATGTGTAAAGAACTGTGCGAAACATTTTGCACTTAATATATTTCACAATTGATGAGATGGGTTTTATCACCCACATGTTACATAGAATAACATGTAATTTAGCTTATTCCTATTTAACCTCAGGAATTAAATTTATTATGTGTAATTGCTAAGTGATTCCCCTCCATAGTAAAGGAGTAAAATAAGTCCTTTCATGTGAAATCTGGTGAATTTCCAAGAAACATTTTGATCCATTCAAGCTTTATTTTGTCTGTGAAAGACAGCTTTGAGAACTGGTGAGGTACTAACACAGGCCTCAATCACTCCTCTTTCTTCACAATTCCTTCGTTGGCTATGCCTCTTGCAGCTATTTAGGGAAACTCTTTGGAACATTCTAGAACTAAAGCCATCATGAGTTGTGCAGACTATCCATTCAATTCATTCCTTTTTTTTGTAGTTGTTGTTTTTTTTTTTTTTTTTTTAAATCTATCATTTAAAATATGATAGCATATGGGGCTCCTGGGTGGCTCAGTCGTTTAAGCGGCCGACTTCGGCTCAGGTCATGATCTCGCGGTCCGTGAGTTCGAGCCCCGCGTCGGGCTCTGGGCTGACAGCTCAGAGCCTGGAGCCTGTTTCAGATTCTGTGTCTCCCTCTCTCTGACCCTCCCCCGTTCATGATCTGTCTCTCTCTGTCTCAAAAATAAATAAACGTTAAAAAATTAAAAAAAAAATAAATAAAATATGATAGCATATTCATTATTCACAGACATGGAGGTCAGTAAATATTTCTGCTGTTTGCCATTGTTATCCATCTAGCTAACTCATTTGCCAACTAGTTACATGAAGAATGACAGCTAAAGCTAAAGCCTTTAGGGATTAAGACATAAATTTTCAATATTTCCATTTCTGGCTATGTATCAAACTCGATGTACTGAAATCCTCTCACTACCAAGTGTCTAAAAATGTGGATAAAACATGAAAAACAGTATTACGTGCATGGCTGACTTTATCAGACAGCACTAGGATTCCCCTGAGGTGGGAACCAGGCTTGAGCAGTAGTATAGCAGAGAACTCAAACAAGGAAGCTGCTGTCTTGTGGGCACCCAGCAGTCTAGATGACCTAGAGGTTGGATTTTAGTAGCTGCACCTTCTGAGAACAGGAAACCAGGTTTTGGACCTCGGAAGTGTGAGAAGTTGAATCACAGAACATTTATAAGAGCCAGAGATCACACAGATTACACCCTTAGAAAATTAGAAAACAAGGAAAAAAGGATTTAATTTATAAAGGCAGAGTGCATGCAAGAAAACATGCTTTTCTCATTATTGAGCATTTGGTAGAAGAACAGAAGAGTCCCCTTTAAGAATTCTTGGCTATAGGCTCGTCTTCATGGAGGTTGGGTGCTCAGTCTTCAAAGATAGAAAAACCTATGCAAGAATTTGAAAATGGATTCATGTTGGTAGCATGGTCAGCTTTTCAAGAATCAGTGGACATTCTCTTTGGATGAATGTACTCTTAACTCAGAATACAAAGAACTCCCAGAGATAAAATCCTAGAGAATATGAGCTCACATTAAAAAAAAAAGAGAAAACAAAAAGTATACATGATGGAAGAAAGTACCATGAGCATTCCTTGGCAGGCATATATAAGTGCCTCATATATTGGAGTCATCAGACGCAGAATGTAAAATTGATACATCAAATGCCTTTTAAAACATAAGACCGAGGGGCGCCTGGGTGGCGCAGTCGGTTAAGCGTCCGACTTCAGCCAGGTCACAATCTCGCGGTCCGTGAGTTCGAGCCCCGCGTCGGGCTCTGGGCTGATGGCTCAGAGCCTGGAGCCTGTTTCCGATTCTGTGTCTCCCTCTCTCTCTGCCCCTCCCCCGTTCATACTCTGTCTCTCTCTGTCCCAAAAATAAATAAACGTTGAAAAAAAAATTTAAAAAAAATAAATAAATAAAAACAAAACATAAGACCGAGAATTGCAAGTGAGTAAGGAACAGAGAAAAAGTCTAACAGGTTTAGAAAAAAAAAAAACTAATCGATAAAAATTCTATTAAGGACTTAAGAATATATAATTAAAATTATATATCCAAGGAAGTTTCATTAATCGTGGAGTTGCATGCATTGGACTAATCTTCTTGTTGAGATTAATTATAATATACATGTAAAAATGTGTGAATGACAGCAACAAAGAGTAAATATTCAGAGCTTAAAAAAAGGGAACCATGCTGGGTGAAAAAAATCCACATTGCTACAGCTGTTTACAGCTACTCATTTCAGGACACACTTCACTGTATGACGCATGAGGTATAAATCTTTAGTTAACATCATACCTAACAGCGAAAAAGTGAACAGTTTTACATTAGACTGTGAACAAGATAGGAATATGTCTCCTACATTTTTTTTTCAACATTATAACAGAGGTCTTAGCAAATGTCATAAACCAAGAAAAAGGAATGAAAGGCCAACGATGAGAAAGGAAGAAGTTACCTGTCTTTATTTTCAAACAACATGATTGTTTATGTAGAAAAGCCTAAAGAATCTACCAAAAAGGACTAGAAATATTAAGCGTGATTACCAGTTCAAAGTCAATATATAAATAAAATAAGTCAAGTCAATTAAACCAATTATATAAATAAAAACTGTATTTAATATACTAACTTCAAAAATTTATAAATGAAATAAAATACCATTTACAATAACATCAAAAGTTATAAAATAAATTTGAATACACTTAACGTGTAAAACTGTGTAAGACCTCCACACTGAAAACCACAAACTATTGCTGAGAAAAAAAATATAACTAAATGGTAAGGTATAAATGTTCATAGATTGGATAACTCTATTTGGCAAGATGTCCATTCTTTCCAAATTACAAATCCAAGGCCATTGTGATATAAATTGGAGTAGGTGCCTTTTAAGAAACTAAGGCATTTACTTGAAAATTTACATAGAAACACAGAGTTTAGAAAAATTAATAATCACTTTGAAAAAAGAACAAAATTGAAGAATTTATATCTGATACTATGAAGCTACAGTAATCAAGAGAGTGTCATAATACAGGATAGACAAATAGCTTAATCTAACAGAATAGAGTCCAGAAATAGACATATAAAGTCAGCTGATTTTTAGCAAAAAGAGAAAAGCCAAGATTCCCAACAGACAATGCTGAAACAACTGGATATGCATATGTGGAAAAAAAAAAAATGAACCTGACTCCCACTTCACACAATATAGAAAAATAAATTCAAAATGGATCATCAAAATAGACCTATAAAGGTCTATCAAAATAGACCTATAAAGCATCCAAAAGTAAACACACAATAATATCTTCACAACATGAGGTAGGCAGAGATTTCTTAGAATACAAATAATAGTAATCTTAAAAATTCTATGCTGCTATAATAAAAATTCATAGACTGGATGACTTAAATAACAGGCATTTATTTCTCATAGTTAAAGGCTGGGAAGTAACAAGATCAAAGTGCTGGCAGATCTGGTATCTGACTGGTCAGAAACCACTTCTAGACTGAAAGGTGACTTCTCATTCCTTCAATGAGAGAGAGACAGAGAGAGAGAGAGAGAGAGAGAGAAAGAGAGAGAGTGAGAGGTAGACACACACAAACAGGGCATGGGGTTGGGAGGCTCTTTTCTTATAAGGGTCCTAATTGCATCATGAAGGCTTTACCCTCATGACTTGATTACCTCCTAAAGGCCCTACCTCTAAATACCATCATATTGGGGATTAGGGTTTCAACATGCAAATTCTGGGGAGACACAAACATGCAGTCCATAATAATTGGACTTTATCAAAATTAAAAACTTCTGATAATTAAAAGACACTAAAAAATGAGTAGGCATGCCATAGACTGAGAGAAAGTATTTGCAATACATATTTAAATGACAAAGGACTTGATTGTATTGGAAAATATATAAATAACTCCTACACCTCAATAATAAAAACACAACCCAATTTTTAAAAAATATTTATTTATTTATTTTTGAGAGAGAGAGAGAGAGGAAGAGAGAGGGAGAGAGAGTTTTCCAAGAAGGCTCTGCATCATCAGCACAGAGCCTGAGGTGGGGCACAAACTCACAAACTAAGATCCATGACCTGAGCTGAAAT